ATTATGATGGATGGATGGGTGGATGAATTAATGATGGATGGATGAACAAATGATGATGGATGGATGGGTGGATGAAAAAATATGGATGCATGAATAAATTATGGGTTGATGGGTGGATGAACAAATCATGGATGGATGATGATTTTCTTTCCATCCTAGTTTGGGCCTCACTTTTCCTCCTTCCTCAAAGACGACAATCTAAATGATCCATAAGAATGAAACGATCTCCTCCATCATCAGATTCTTCATCACAACAGAGACGTCTTTGTCTTCTTCACCCAGTGTCTCCAGTTGACTATGGTTTCTCTCCGGCTCCTATAGAGTTCAGAGTACACACACCCAAACCCTCATTGACTTCCATTATAAATACATTCAGACTTGTTTACTCTAAGTAAAGGCTCTTTTGAACTTGCTTCAACACAAAGCACTCCTCTGCTGCTCACCTTTAATAACTTGCTCTGTTTTAATTCAATAGTTTTTCTCAGTTTGAGGTTTACGTTCTGTCAGCCTGCCTGGACAAGGCTCCTCGTTTGCAGTTCTAGGTTGCTGCCGAGCCCGGTCTCGTCTCGTCCCACAAACGTTTCAGTTCAGCTGTAAAGAGGAGAAACACACTCGTGCACGAGTAAACATTTGGAACAAAACGGCAGATCCACATGTTGACGAATCATTCACACCTGGCCGGAGTCAGCCGCTCCGTGGCTGACTTAAAGTTTGACCAACAACAAGGCCGCCTCACCGGCTACTGGATCTGTGGGCTGGAAGGGCTCCCAGAAACTCCTGATTGGAATAAAAAAATAATAATCTGAAAATCCTTTAGAGCATCTGAAGAGGGCAATATATATATATATATATATATATATATATATATATATTTAATTTTTTATTTTTTTTTGTCATAATTTTTTTTTTACTGATTTGTGAAGTTTTGCTAAACAAAAGACCCTAAAATTGAAAAATAAAAAAAAGTGTGGGGGGGGGGATTGTGTGCGTGTAGCGTTTTTGTGTGTCCACCATCGTTAAGCAGGTCTATAACTCTGTGGATTGGCTGAATTGCCTCCGATGACCCCACCCACCTTCAAAACAAACCGAAAGAATCAAAGGAACATGAGCAGGTTTGCATCAGTCCCTCCAGTCGTCAACTGGAAGGAGGAAGACGTGACGCAGACTGAGTGACAGTCACCTTAGCTGTTAGCATTAGCTTTTACCTGTTTAGTGGTATAGCATTAGCAAAGCTAACTTTTTGGTTAGTTGTGCCCACCACTGGTTAAAGATTAAATCAGAACATTTAGAACATTAACCTTGCAGTATGAACAGGAATGTTCTACCGTTGCTCTCTACCTGTTGAATCTTTGTATTTACATGTTGTGCTCTGACCTCTCCACAGCTGAGACACCAGCAGTGGAGCCTCGTCATGGAGAGTGCCGTGCCATCGGACCGGGGGAATTACACCTGCGTGGTGCAGAACAAGTACGGGACCATCAGCCATACCTACCAGCTGGACGTTCTGGGTAAACGGCTGGAAATTCACACGAGTTGTTTGTCTGTGGTGCACCGGTCTCTGCAGAACTAAAGCTACTGACGCCATCTTTGTTTGCCTTCAGAGCGGTCGCCTCACAGGCCCATCCTGCAGGCCGGCCTGCCAGCCAACCAGACGGTGGTGGTGGGCAGCAACGTGGAGTTCCACTGCAAGGTTTACAGCGACGCTCAGCCTCACATCCAGTGGCTCAAACACATCGAGGTGAACGGCAGCCGCTACGGCCCCGACGGTGTGCCGTACGTCAACGTCCTGAAGGTGGGTCCAGAGTGGCGCCACTCTCACCGATCGATCCAACAGCCTGAAAGTTTCTAAACCTTTTTTTTTATTGTGATCCGTTTTTTTTTTCCCTATGATTTTGGCACACAACTCATTACACGATTTTTGTTCTTTTTCAACAATTCATGACTCAAAACGTTCGGCTCGTTCAGGACATTCCTGCTGGAACTTTTGGTATTTGTGCAGTTGTAACTTATTGAAATATTTGGCTTGGTCGGCCATGTTTCTCTCATTGAAAATGAATGGATCTCAAACCTTTGTGCTGTTTAAAACTTTTTACTGCTCATTTCAGATTCTGTTCTGGTTCTGCTTATTTCAGCTTTGTGCTATTTTTCAGCTACTTTTTAGGAATTTTTTCTGCTTAACTTTTTTCTTTTCTTTTCTTTTTTTGCTACTTTGCCTTTTGTGCGTATTTCTAATAATTTTAACCTTTTATGCTCCTTTCAGACTATTTCACCTAATATAAGCTTTTTTTAGTTTCTTAGCGAGTTTTTGTTGTTGCTAATTTCAGCTTTTGTTAGGTCATTAGTGTTTCTTTTTCGCTAGTTTCATATTTGTAATCTATTACCTCTCTACCTGTTTCAGCTCATTTCTGCTCTATTCAGCATTTTTTACACATTTCTGCTGTTTTTTCTTTTGATTTCCTGCTTTCAGCAAATCGCTGTTCAAACTTACAAATAGTTCAGCAGTGAAACCTTTTCAGCAGCTTTAAGCAATAAGTATTCACACTACATCTTTACAGGAAATTACTGTTTTGTTGTTGTTGTTTACAGAAGGTTTGTCTGCGGGCTCGATCAAAAATGAACCATAAATCTGCACCTAAGATCAAAAACAAGCTGTTTATAAAAGAAAGCGCTTCTTCTGAATTATTAAAACGGCTCCGCCTCATGAAGAAGATGATCATCTCTCATGTTTTATTGTTTCTTAATGAACATCCAGCACTCTCAGTAGCTCATCATTAACATTCTTTCCAGGCACCAAAAAGCAAATCAAGCACCTAAAAGACAAAAAATAAAAACCTTTTGCGTGACCCCCTCCCCCACCTGGAGCCGGCTTTAAATCCTCCAGCATGTGCCACACATGAGAGAGCAGATTATGTCTGAATGAACTCTGGTGAGCCCAGTGAGAACGGCTCACACAAATCTCAGTAAATACTTTTTCAATTATGTGGTAGTCGAAAATAGAGCCTGGAGCCGAAGTCTGGGCTGAACCCCCCCTCCCTGCTCCCCTTCCCTGATTCTTTTTCTCCCATTTCTCTCCTTCAAACCCTGTCTCTCAGCTCATCCATCTTCTGATTTCACTTTTTTTTATTTTTTTTTTATTTTATTTATTAAATTTTTCTAACTCTGTGTTTTCTTCCGTTCGGCTTCTTATGTAAAACACTAGTTCTTTTTTAAAATTATTTAAAGGTGACTAGTGTCTTAAAGATGTTTAGTTTCTCATCCGAGGAGTTTTCTTAATCAAAGTTCCAAGTTTCACATCTGCAGCTGAACTCACAAGCAAGTCACTCTCCCTCCCCTCCTTCTCGAGGGCCATTAAGGTTAACAAGGCGAGCATGAACGTACACGTTTAAATTTCACTTTCACTTCCAAGATGGTGCCTGCGCATACATCTTCTGCCGGTCAGCAATCTGTTTGGTTTTGTACTTTTTTATGAAATGGAGATGCTCTGCTGGTCTACCATCAACAGGGACTCTTTGATTTTCAACTTGCTTCTCAAAAGTACAGATAGTCCGACTTCAGAGGTTAGAGAACCTACCATGTGCTGTATCTGTTGGGCGTTCCTGGCAGGGTTTCTTGCTGAGTGTTCTTGTTGGAGGGTTCCTTCCAAAGGTTCTTACCTACAGGGCAATCCTGTTGGGAGTTCCCATCGAGCCTTCATGCTTGGTGATACTGTTGTGAGTTCCTACTGGGCCATCATGCTGGGTGTTCTTACCAGGCATTCCTTTGGGGGGTTCCTTCCAGGGGATTTCTCCCAGGGGTTCCTACAAGGTGATTCTGCCAGGTCTTCCTGCCTGGCGATCTCGTTGAGATTCCTACCAGATGATCATGCCAGGCAATTCTGTTGGGTGTCCCTGTCGAGCTGAATTCATACTGGGCCATCATGCTATGCGTTCTTACTGGGCATTCCTGTCCGGGGTTACTGCCATGGGTTTCTGACAGAAGTTCCTTCCAGGGGTTTTATACCAGGGGTTCTTGGGGGGCCGAGATGGGGTAGATGTAGGGCAGCCGACCTGGAACCTGAAAGTCCCAGGCTCGATCCCCAGCCATTCCCACATGTTGTGGTGTCTCTGAGCAAGACACCCAATCCCTAATTGCTCCCCGAGTGCTTACATAGCTGCCCACTGCTCCACCTGGGTGTATCTCAGGTGTGATGGGTTAAATGCAGAGAGCCAATTTCACCATTGTATGGAAGCATACAGTGATGACAACACATAGCACTTGTTATTATGTGGTGAGGTCCAAAGCAGCTCTGTCTAACTTTATCCTGACAGGAGAAACTGAAAGTAGCCTTAACAGGCGGTGTCTCACTCGTCATTGGGCAGAGGACATCCAGACGTGGACAGGGCTCCTATTTTATGGCCTTCACCTGCCTTTCTGAGGAGTACCCGAGGTGAAAGCTGGTGGTGTCTGAAGTTTGTACTGCCCCCACGTACGAAGGCCAAGGGACTGATGACGATGACGACAAGGAGAAAAATAGCTTAGCATTTGTGAAAGTAAGGGAAGCACCTTGGGACAGTTTTCATGAATGCCCCCTGCCGAAGGTGAAGATGGAGCGATATTTTTGCCTTTGTTGGATTTTATTGAAACGTTCAGAAACTAATTGTTGGTTCTACATTTGAAATGACTCCAACTTAAGATGGCCGCCACAGCCAACACATAAATGTCTAACTCGGTCAGATTTTCAGTGGTTGAACTAAAGTAGGTGGCCGTAGTCCCCAACATGAACTTTCAACCTTGGCATTAACGATTAGAATCAACCCTGTTTGTCTGTTAGCAAAATACTTCATGAACCACGTATGTTTGACTTTATAAGTTTTGTCTTTTTGCTGCTAAATCCTGTTTAAAACGTCAAGAATCAATGAGCTGAAGAAGAGCAGAGAGTGATATTAGATTTTATCGTCTTTTTATTCGTCTGTTTTTCTCAGACAAGAATCCTTTTAGCCCTCTGCTCCGTCACACATTCCCCTCTCTCTTTGCTGACTTTGCCCTTCTTCGCGTTCCCCCACTCATTTTTTCCACTTTCCGCTCTCTCCTCCTCCTCCTCTTCATCAAACCGTGCGACGCAGCACATCCGATGGCAGCGGCAGTTAGCTCTAGCTCGTCTCCCTCCCTGAAACTGCCGCCACCGCAGCCGTTCACTTAGTCCAAACCAGATGTTTGTTTTTATTCTCTCTCTAGAAGTAAAGAGAAAAAAGGCGGGGGGTGCAAATGAGAAATCAAAAGCCTTGTGGATTATAACAACAGTCTTCCCCTCCAAATAATGAAAAAACAGAGCTAACCGTGGGTTTAGGGAACATTTCTCCTCTATTCTTGAGCACGGAAACTGCTTGGAAGGAAAAACCCTCTGCAAATTACAGAATGCAAGGGAAAACCTGCAATTAGAACGTCAAGATGCTAAATCGGAGCATGTACCACACTAAAAATGGATCTTTATTTGGGTTTACATGTCTGTAATCTTATATTAAAGGTCTAACATCGGAGGAACGAGCTCTTCAGTTACAGTAATTGTGTTTATTCTGCGTTACTGCACAAAGTAAACGTGCACTTTGTTCCCTGTTTGTTTTTATGGATGGGATTAGGCTGATTCACCATAAAAACTGTGGAAAAACTGATCAAAAATATTTTCCTGTCTTATTGTTCTGTATTTTCTTATACAGAGTTAAAGCAACTTTAAGTTCTGCAGCTTCTGCAGGGTTTTTTTTGTCGGCGTTTGCTTTTGCAGGGCTTGTGAAGGCCTCACTGTGCTTCTCGATGTTTCCTTCACAGAGTAATGTCAGTAAACACGCCGTGGCTAACAGTAAGTTGAAACTGTCCAACGTGACAGAGAGAGACGCCGGGAAGTACTGGTGTCGAGCCTCGAACTTTATCGGCAGATCGGAAAGAGCTTTCTGGCTCAAAGTAGAAAAACCAGGTAAATGCTTGAGAACCGCCTCCTCTGCCTGCTCCCCGGTGCCATCTTCCTCCTGGTTGTGGGTCTGCTTGACTGGGACGTGCAGAAACGCACTTAATTAGCTTCTCGCTGCTGTTCGGTTTACCTCCCGGAGCTGCTTTCGTCCTGATCAATGACAAACACATTTACTGCTGCTGGAACTTCAAGTCAAAACGCTCAAATGGAAGCCGACGTGAAACTCCCGTCGATCAAACCACCCACAAACACAGACGCTGCTATTAGTTTTCACTGGAGAGCTTCATTAATGCGTCTTCATTTGAGAGCATGCAGCCCCAGGTTTGGAGACAAAGTTAGAAAAGGATTGTGGATAAATTGGACAAATGATGGTGAATATGGAACTGGTGAATATTGGGATTTAGGGAGATGATCCACTGTGGAGTCCACCAAGAGTCGGAGTCTGGTTAGTGACTCAGAATTAGGAGAAAATAAGCACATTTCCATCTGCAGTCTGAATGAATTCTGGGTGTTTGTGACCAGTGAACCATGTTGCCTCTTTGACCAATTTTAGAAAATCGTGGCCTCTTGTGTGCGACAGGCGCTGTAGAGTTGCATTTATTTGGAACCAGTCTGCTCACTAACGTTGTGGGGCTTTAAGTCCCGCCTACTACCACCCGCACAGTCATGATAGCGCAACCTTTTTTTTTTTTTTAAACGCCCAATAACTAATCACAGCTAAAAATGTTAGAAAAATTTGTATCTGCACATAAAGCAGTGACGGATGGGCAGAGATTTTCAAATATTCAAAGTGCGGTTAATTACTTCAACACCTGGTAGCGACACGCAAGTCAAAGTTTTTACTTTTACGTTTCAACAGAACACCTGCTGCTCAGCCCCACCTGTAGAAACGAGAACAAAGAAACTCCTCAACTTCTGGGTTCCAGCATGTGCTTTACTATTCCTATGCACAGTCTATCAAAAAATACATTTAGATGAACTCAACTGAGATAAGTTTGAGATGGCCACAATGAATCTACAACTATTTTGAGAGAAAACTAGTTTTGAAAATTTAGTTTAACGCACGAGTCAAAACCGTGAGCGTCTGTGACCCACTCCAGGAAACTGAGAAACCTCCACGAACGCTCTGAGAGGCTGTGGAGACTTCTTCGCCCATGTCGTTCACCAACAAGTCTCCAGCAGTCGTAGCCGAGGAGACGATACCTTAAAGGAAAGCAGCCAAGAGAAGACTTGATGGACGCAAGTCAAAATACCTCATTCAAATTTGAAATTATTTTTGGAAACCACAAACTCAACGTCCTCCATAAAGAAGAGGGACCATCCAGCTTGTTCTCAGCACACATTTCAAAAGTCTGCTTCTCTGATGGTATAAGGGTGCATTTCATTCATAAAAATACGTAATGGTGAAGGGAACTGGTGTGGTGTCAAGTAAACTACAACTTTTTCTCTGGTTCAGGTAAAAAACAACCACAGTTTCTAAATCTATAAACTTTACAGAAATATTAATAAAAAAAAAATAGAATTGTGATGCTTCGTACAAATACAATATAAAAAATTTCATTTGGGTCTTGATAAAATAGCTGACAGATTAAAAAAAAACAACACTTGTGGCCTTTGGTTGAACCAACGTGCTTCTTTGGTGTTTTTGTTTCCTGGTGGTGGCACAGCTGATCCTGTCTTTACTTCAGAGGTGTTTTTGGTGTTTCCTCTAAAAAAAATCCTTCTCTCTCCTTCATTCTGCCCTCCTTCCTCCTGTCATCCTCCACAGACGGCCGGTATAAACACGACCGATAAGGAGCTAGAGGTTCTCTTCTTGACCAATGTGTCCTTTGAGGACGCGGGCGAGTACACTTGCCTGGCGGGGAACTCTATCGGCTACTCTTACCACTCTGCTTGGCTGACGGTGCTTCCAGGTATATTCCTCCTTCGGTCTCTGGTTTGTCTTTCCTCAACCACTCTGCTGCAAAAGTGCAAAACTTTATTTAAAACTTTTGTTTTGCACAGCAGCACAAACCGGCGCTTACCAACGACCAGCAGGCAGCCGCCGCTGAAAGATCAGATGGTTTCTTTAAACGTTTCAGCGCTCTGAGGCAGCAGTCAAACATTTTTTATTTGATGTTAAAGACAGTAATTACCTCCCTAAGGAGCGGCTAATGTCAGGTGCAATTACCTGCCGCAACATGAAAACGACGAGCTGCCTGCAGAGATGTTGAACCCATAAACGTCTTGATTTGTGCGAGTCGCTTCAAAAAATGTGCCGCAGATCAAAACAAAAACGGTTCATTTCTGCTAAACGAGTGTTTAATTTACGAGGTTCTTTCTTTCTGAGCAGAGAACTCGGACAAGGGCGACTACTACGCAGACATCCTGATCTACGTGACGGGCTGCGTGCTCTTCATCCTCGCCGTGGTCATCGCCGTCCTCTGTCGCATGAGGATGAACACGCAGAAGACTGTGCCACCGCCTCCCGTGCAAAAGTTGTCGAAGTTCCCCCTCAAGAGACAGGTAACAGAAAGTAGATACAAGATTTGCACAAGACTTTCCTCTTTCTCTCGTCCTGCCTGGTTGGTTTCGAGACACATCTCTAGTTGAATTTGATGCAGATAATGGGGGGGGCGGGGGGGGGATACAAGTTAATGGGAGATTAAATAAGAAAATTTTCTGTAACAGATTGAAATGCATTCAGTTATGTGAATAAAATATATAAAAACAGAATGTAGTGATTTGCAAATCTCATAAACTCATATTTTATTCATATTGGAACATAGTGAAGATATAAAAAGTTTAAACTAAAATTTTTTTAACATGTCACCACAGTTCTAAAGGAGAGGGACTCTACAGCCTGTTATCAGCTCAAAGCCTGCCTCTCTAATGGTATGGGGGTGCATTAGTGCTTTAGTGCTTCTGGCATTTATAGTTTACACAGCTGGAAAGACTCCATGCAGAAAAGCACTTTTGGGTTTTAGAACATCTGCTCCCATCCAGTAGAGAAGATCCAGGACTGAAGGACTGCTAGAGTCCTCCATCAGACCAGAACGGGACAACAATCCCTCCAAAACCTCCAACAACTGGTCTCCTTCTTAGTAAATTTTATCTTAATAACTTGATTTCCTGTTTTTAAAATGTGTTTTTAAATAAAAAATGTATTTGATCCGACGACAGAAAGTTTCTCTCTCTAGAAAATAAAACCAGCTTCACACCTTCAGTTTTAGTCCTGGGGGGACTGGTTTCAGCTCACTAGCAGTAAAGACTCGTAGTTGTCCGTCCTGCAGAACCCGGCTGGACTCTGTCAAGTTTTAAATGTAATTAAAAGGTTCTGCTCCTCAAAACGTTCCATTTAAAAAGGCTCAGTTTACAGTTTGAGCTGAAAATATTGTGAAAAGTTTTTGTACTTTTGTCAAAGATAAGTTCAAACTTGTAGAAGTTTGTTTTAATTGAAGCTTTTATTTTTTCAGTTTTAGCTGTGGAAAAGTTCCTGTAGCATTTTTTCTGTAATCTCTGCTTCAGTTCTGGGAGCCTGATCTCTCTTCTCCTCTTTCATAACGTCAAGTAAAGCTCCAGTAAACCTCCTGGCATCTTCCGGCAGATATTACAGTCATGCCTCGGAAATCTGTGCTCAGAGAATTTATTTATTTATTTTTTGCTCCTCCTGCTCTCCCAGCAGTCGGGACGTCCCACAAACGGCACAATCAGCAAGAAGACGGATGGACAGAAGCGACCATCTTAACCCCACCTCTGTCATTCATTTGTTACTTCCTGTTTCCTCGTGCACAGACACGGGTCAGCTGTTTGTAAAAGAGATCAAGTGTTAGCGTAATATCTTATTGGCTAGTGGGCAGGTGTCCATCTACAACTGAACTGTAGCTTCACATCCTACTGTCTCCACTCTGTCTCACGCGTATCGCAGTCGTTTTCGAGACTATAACCTTTTTTTTTTGTTTTTTTTTGCACCCAAGCAGGTGTCCTTGGATTCTAACTCGTCCATGAACTCCAACACCCCCCTGGTCCGGATCGCCCGGCTGTCCTCCAGCGACGGCCCGATCCTGGCCAACGTCTCGGAGCTGGAGCTGCCCTCTGACCCTAAGTGGGAGTTCCCTCGATCCCGGTAAGAAGGAGTGACAGGGCGGCGCCGTATCCCTGCATCCATCGGAGCTGAAAGGTCCGCTCAGACCCAAAACCTGCTGTGGTTTGGTTTCAGGTTGACTCTGGGGAAGCCGCTGGGGGAGGGCTGCTTCGGGCAGGTGGTCATGGCCGAGGCCGTCGGCGTCGACAAGGAGAAGCCCAACAAGCCGCTCACCGTCGCCGTGAAAATGCTAAAAGGTTAGCAGCTGCTCTGACGACGTGTTACCGTTCATCCGTTTAGATTTAGCTACAACCCGACTGCTTCTGCAAAGCTTGTGCTGTTTTAGCTGCTCATCTATCAGAAACCTTCAGCTCTTTCAGGAGTTGAGTGCCATGATTTTCTAACTTTTCTAACTTTGTTTATTTAGAGATATTTTTACCGTAGAAGTACATAAAGATTCTCTTTGAAATCTGCTTAAGCTACTAGCTCTGTGTTTGTTTTCTTTCACGCTACTTTTAGCTTTTTTCTACTTTAAGCTAGATTTTGCTACTTTTACCTTTCATTCCACTATTTTTTTTTTTCAGCTGCTGTTGTGCTATTTTTAATTGTTGGTACCTGTGTGCTACCTTTAGCTTTTAGTTAGTGTTTTGTCACTTTGAGCTTTTAATGCATTTTGCTCCTTTTAGCTAGCCTCTTACTACTTTTAGCTTCTAGTTATCAGATATTTGCCATCAGTTTCAGTTTTTCTACATTTAGTTTTAAGCTAGCCTTTTGCTATTTTTAGCTAGTGTTTTGTTACTTTTAGCTAAGGCTTTGCTACATTTAGCTCTTTAGCTAGCCTTCTTCAACTTTTAGCTAGCCTTTTCTTTTCATTCGCTAGTGTTTTGTTAGTTTTAGTTAGCTTTTTACTACTTTCAGCTTTTAGCTACCAGATTATCAGATTTACCATCCGCTTCGGTTTTACTTCTTTTATCTTGCCTTTTGATTTTATTAGCTAACATTTTTTTATTTTCAGCTAAAGGTAGCTACTTTTAGTTTTTAGGTAACATTCTGCCTCTTTGCTTTTTACAGCATTCTGCTCCTTTTAGCTGATGTTCTGACACTTTTAGCTTTAAATAGTGAGTTTCAGCCTCACTTTCCATCATGGAGAGCTTCATCAGTCTTTCTTTGCCTCTCGTTTCAGACGACGCCACAGACAAAGATCTGTCAGACCTGGTGTCAGAAATGGAGATGATGAAGATGATCGGCAAACACAAAAACATCATCAACCTGCTCGGCGCCTGCACGCAGGACGGTGAGGTTATAACGCATGAAGAGGCGATTACCGCCGACATGAAACAGATGTGTGAGGTGCGTCTGTGTGGCTCTCAGGTCCTCTGTACGTCCTGGTGGAATACGCTTCCAAAGGCAACCTCAGGGAGTACCTGCGGGCGCGGCGTCCACCGGGCACGGACTACTCCTTCGACACGTGCAAAATCCCCAACGAGCAGCTGACGTTCAAAGACCTGGTGTCCTGCGCCTATCAGGTGGCCAGAGGCATGGAGTACCTGGCCTCACAGAAGGTGAGAGAGGCCGATTGCTGCTGTGATGAGACCGACAAATCATCAGCCGCACGGAGTTCAGGTTGTGAATGTTTTAACATCTTTAATGGGGACTCAGAACTGTGGAACCCAGTGAGTGCCAAGTATAAAGATAAAGATGAGGGAAACCTGTTTGCTCAGGTTAATAAAACGTTTTGTCATTTTCAGCGCAGAGCTGATGCGATAAATTTAAAATGTAAAAAAAAAAAAAAAACATCTGTGTAAATATCTTGTTTTACAACGTGGACAACTGCGGCTTATACACAAGCGCAGCCTTATATATACAAACTTTTTAATTTTTTTAATTTAGTGGGCGCAAATTATATTCAGGTGCGCTCGGAAAAAAGTCAGGAAGTTACGGTAATTGTGCTCGTCTACTCTGTATAAGGAAAATGACATTAACCTCATGAAACCTTCAAGACTTTGTCTTCATTCGAAGACGTAACTAAAAGCGTTTTCAGTCGTTTGTGTTAAAGTGTTTGTATTTGTGTCCCTCAGTGTATCCACCGAGACCTGGCAGCCAGAAACGTCCTCGTCACAGAAGACAATGTCATGAAAATCGCCGACTTTGGTCTCGCCAGAGACGTGCACAACATAGACTACTACAAAAAGACAACAAATGTGAGTTTTACAGCAAACGCTCTCCATCCGGGTGGAAAATACCCATTTAACTGAAAATGCAGACGTTTCATGTTCGTGTTCACAAAGATAAACTAAACATATTCCCTGCGTTAATCATAAATTCTTAATTCAACCCTCAGAAGGTCGTTTTTAACTTTGTGACATTAAGCGTTCCTTAGGGGGAAGTTAAACACCTAACTTAACTGCTTAAAGATCTCAGCCTGAAATAAAAATATCACATTTAAATTTTCTTTTTATGCATTTTAGCTCCTTAAGTTTTATAAACTGCAGTGTTGTCAAAAATGTAGAAATTTTTAGACAGTTTTATAGAATGTTTGAACGGTTCGTACATTGAGGGTGTTAATTAATTAATTAACTTTAACTACACCTTGGTGTGTTTAGTTATTTTGTTCGTACTGCTCCGGTCAACCACAGCGCTGAGGCGGCCTGGTTCATCCACCAAGCAGCCTGCAGAGTTTGTGTTTTGTTTTTAATTCCTCGAGGCGTTGCGTGATTTCCTGCATGCATGTGAATCTGCTGTTTTCTACCACGTTTACTCGTGCACAACTCAAGTGTGTTTCTGATCTTTACAGCCATTTCTTCCAACTGAGGTGAGACGTCAGCTCTTTTCTGATTTGGGTGTATTTTTTGTTTGAACTCGCAGAAGTTTATTTTAATTTGCTAACTGATTTTTAAAGAATAAAAAAATGAATTAGACAAAAAAACAAATTTTCCTGTGAAAATCTATTGTCATGTCGAGCTGAATGACTGCTGAGATCTGCTGAAGAAGCAGAAACTAAGCTGTTAAAGTTATAAGTAAAATAGTACCTAAACTCCAAAAAATATAAAAATGCTAGTTAAAAGCTGAATATAGCAAAATGTTAGCTAAACGATAACAGGCTAAAACTAGCAAACGGTTACCTAAATAAAGTATTCTACTTAAAAGTTCAAAGAATCAAATAAGTGTGCTGAAAACTGAATAAGCAAAACACTAGCTGAAAGTTAAAAGATACTAGCAAAATATATAAAAAACCTAACTTAAATTTACTTTTAGCCAAAGGCTAACGGAAATCGAAGAGTCGCAAAACAATAAAAATGGTTAAATGTAGCAAAGGCCTAGCTAAAAGCAGAAAACGGGTAGTTAAAGGAAAACTAGCAAAAGTTTAGTTAAAAGTAGCAAATGGATAAGTAGAAGCTAAATATAGCACAAGTGCAGCTAAATGTAGCTAAATGCTAGCTAAAGCATAAAAGTCACATAGAGACAAAATTGGAGCCAGTTTTAAAAAGATAAAAATTAGATCAAATTTATGAACGCTGACTCAGAATCGAGATGAACGTGTCCGTTGTGTCAACAAAGAACCGGACCGTTGTTGTTCTCTGTTGGCAGCGGTTCTGTTAAATCTGTATACGTTTTGTTCCAGGGTCGTCTGCCTGTGAAGTGGATGGCTCCGGAGGCTTTGTTCGACCGGGTCTACACGCACCAGAGCGACGTGTGAGTTTCCACCAACTGTTCGGTTCTGTGCAATGTGGGCGTCGAAACATCTGCGCTAACGTCAAGCGCAGAACGTCTGAAATACGACGTCTTCGGGTTCCCTTGCTTTGATAAATCTGAACCTGTTTCTCCCCCACGTCGACCATCGTCTCGGTTTTATCAGCTGAAATCCAGACAGAAGGCGAAAAGACTGGATTTGTCACAACCTGCAGGTCCAACCTGCTCTGCCACCATTTTGGTTGTGATCGTCCCACAGTAGCTGTAAAAACCCGCCCTTCCAGTAGCTACACGCCGTGGTCCAAACCAAACAGTGGCCTCAGTTAACGCCGACCCGGCGGTGTGACTTCACCAGACTGGGAACCTGATGGCTGTTATTTCAGCAGGTCTGGATTAGAGTCAGTCCCTCCTCGCCCCACTTCACAGTCCTCACTTTGAAATCTTCTCAAACGCCCCTGGGGGGTTCTGACCTTTGACCCATGCTTAGGTTCCATACAGTGCAATGTGGAAATTGTTTGAACAATCACGATAAATCACACTTAAAACCAAAACCATAAATAACAAATATTTAGGGTTGAAAACCTGCTAACAGCTAAAGCTGAAGTCCACAGTTTGTGCTCAGAAGACCAGGGTTATTATTTATTGTGTGAACGCTGAGTCAGCGCTCAGAAAAAAAAAAATCTCTCCGTACGGTTTTTCAGTCTAACTACTTCTGCTTGCTTTGTGTTACTTTAGCCTTCATGTGTCAAAATGTTCAGCTCATTCAGCAGATGGGTTCTACGTCTTATTTTTCAAAAACTTTTTAATGTAACAAACATCGTCTCCATAGAAATACATTAAGATCTTTTCAGTTCCTTCAAAAACTTTGTTCTATTTAAAATTTATTTTTATTTATACTTATTTTGGTTTTTAGCTAACGTTCTGTTTCTTGTAGCTTTTACCTAGTCCTGTTTTACTTTTGCCTTTTAACTAGCTTGTTGATACTTTTAGCTTCTAGCTGACCTTTTGGTACTTTTAGTTTTTAGCTACCATTCTGTTACCTTTAGCTTTTATCTAGCTTGTTGCTTCTCTTAGCTTCTAGCTGATCTTTTGCCTACATATAGCTAGCTTGTTACTTCTTTTGAATTCTAGCTGACCTTTTGCTACTTTTAGCGTCAACCTAACTTTGTTTACATTTAGCTTTTAGACATTATTTTGCTACTTTTGGCTAAACTTTTGCCACTTAGCTTTATTGCTTCTTTTAGTGTTTTTAGCTAACCTTTTGATACTTTTAACTTTAAGCTAGTCTTTTGCTACTGTTAGACTTAACCAGTGGTTTGCTACTTTTAGGTAGTGTTTTGGCTCTTTTAGCTAGTGTTTTGC